AAAAAAAAAAGAAGAAAAAAAGAAGACATGGATTCGATTCCTTTGCTGAGAAGTTATTTAAATGTAAGCGAGTACCTCCAACTGTGCCAATTGTGGATGGGATCGAGTCGGGTCGGGTCGGGTCTGGTAGGGTCGGGTCGGGTTGGATCGATCGCCCGATTTGTCGCCTGAAACAAAATTTTGAAGCGACAAGTCGGGCACGATCAGCTTGAGCCACGATATATAGCCGCTTTGCGCCCTCAATCTGGCTAGCAAACCGACCCGACTCGATCCCCCTATGGTCACCCCGTAGATCTATAATGTGCTAGTATATCATTATGCTGTATTCCACGGCCTCTTGATTGGCCTTAGCGGGCAAGGTAGAAGAACTTCGTCTCTTTAATAATTGTCTAGATCTAGCTGTATTAATGGGCGCTCAAAACAAAAATGTAAAGAGCAAGAAACAAAACGAAATTAATAGATGTCTTACATGTGTGTCCCATTTCCTTTATTTCACTTTTAATTTTTTATTTTTTGTAGGTTATTAGGACGGAATAATGGCTCTTCGTCTTTTCATACAAAGGGTGGTGGCAGATCTCTCTCTCTCTCTCTCTCTCTCTCTCTCTCTCTCTCTCCCTCCCTCTCTCTCTCTCTCTCTTGCCTGTTTTAACTCCCAGTGGAGCACAGCCATCAACAGCATTACTCCAGCGAAGCCTGTCCTAAGCATCCTTTTCTAGCTGTTTCAATTTCCGCTTGTACCGCTCGCCTCCATGTCATCTTTGGTCTTACACTCCATATTTTCTCCTTTCCTCGGTGATGAAGGTCCTCCATCTTCCAGAGCTGGCGGTCGTGTTGCTTTTGCTGTTGATGTTTTTGTAGCTGCTTTTTGTTTTACGGGAAAGGGCTGCTACCCTTTGCCCAACCAGCTTTAGTCGCCTTCTACGACATGTACGGTACGGATACAGTGGTCCTCTTCTTTGCTCCCCCCTCTCTTGGACAGGGCCGCGAGAACCACACGGGTGGGTGGCAGATACATAGGCCTATTAGAACAGACGAGACGCTGCTCGTGGAAAGTAAAAAAAAAAAAGGGGCCGGACAAGTTGACAACATGGCTAGGAGCAGCAAGAACAACAGAACTGCAACGCAAGACAGAGTGAAGCGGAGGTCCATGATCGCCCACGCCAGTCGGCAAGGCACCGGATGATGATGATGATGATGATGATGATGATGATGATTTCAGCATGGCATGAACACAACGCGATTAATGGGTCGCACGAGGCAGGGCTTTGGACACTTAGGTACGGCATGGACCAGAAAACTCTGGAATTAACTTAGTTGGCAATCAGCCCAGAGAACGAAATTTTACAGGATCTTAGGAGAGAGAGAGAGAGAGAGAGAGAGAGAGAGAGAGAGAGAGAGAGAGAGAGAGAACGGGGTATTTCTTTTACCAATTGTATCGACATTGTTTTGTTTTGTTTTTTCTTGCTACATTACAACAGCTGGCCGACGTTATGCACTGGTTGGCTTTCATGCCCTCTCCACACTTGTCTTTGTCCCTCAGAGCTTCCATCAGGGGTGGGGAGAGGTTAGGAGGAAGGAGGGAGGGGGAGGCGGATTAAATTTGAGCTAGTGACCCGTAACTCTAAGTGGAGTTAGCTGAGGCCTGTGTTGAAATCCCCCAGAGATAATACGTAGGCCCTACATATTTCTGTAAGAGACCAGGGACAAGATCTATGTTCTTGAGCATGGTTGGTGGATTGGCTTGGGCGAAGGGAAACAAAAAATAATGACTCTAGAGCTGATGAGAGCTTTCACTTACACCAAATGTCTACGCAACACCCCCTCTGGTGAGATCCAACGCCAAACCCCCACAATCTGCCAAGAGAACACAATTTTACAGGATCTGAAAGAGAGAGAGAGAGAGAGAGAGAGAGAGAGAGAGAGAGAGAGAGAGAGAGAGAGAGAGAGAGTCCGTTTGACGGACGAACTTTTTTGTAACGCAAGACAGTAAAGTTCCCGCCAACAAGGTAGCCTACATTCATGCGTGTGCCTGCCCCTGGAACTTGGAAGAACGTATTGGCCTGCCCTGTCCAAACTGCGGCCATGCTGCCTTTCATAGGGCCTACTCATTGGTGAGACTAGTGAGAGAAACAAAAATAATATTTTTCTCCCCGCCCACCTAACCCCTGACCGCACGCTGAGGTCAACGTAATGCGTTAACAACAAGAAACGAGGTCAGGTGCGAGGGCCGCGGAAACGAGAGCGAAAACCCATCGACCTGGCCCACAGTCCAAATATAGTGCAAGTCTATGCGAGAGACCGATTACTACACTGTTATGTTGCGATGGCTGCCTCCACTCTCTCCACTCTCCACCTCGCTGACCCGCATTTTGGATGGTCTATTTTTGTCTTTCACTTCGAACCGTTTCTTCTCCAGGCCAGCTTGAATCGTGACGCGGTTTCCCCAGATAGCAAGTTGCAAAACGCGCGTTGATTCGTCGAATTTTGTTTTGGTCGTGTGCACGGCGTTCATTGGTCAATTTTGACATATCGACCTACTTTCAACGTTCCAAACTACAACTCATAGCGTCGTTTTCTTGGTTCAGGAAGGTAGACAGACGTGCTGACGAATTCAGGTAATGTTTCCCACTTACTTTTATGTCAATTGTTTTAAAAGTGATTTACAATGACAAGCATTGCCAGTGATCATAGAGTGTTTTGTGCCTTGGAGTGCGCAGTAAGTTTTAAAGTCACGTGCTTGGGGTGTATTTTTAGTGCGATTAGAGGCCAAATTACTCAATTTGCATGAAGTTTTTATCGACTGCTACGCTTCACCCTGGGACGTAGGCCTACCTTCGAAGCCATTGGGGAAGTGGTCTGTGAATTTGCGGATCAGCTCAGCCCGAAACTGTGAGGTTGCAATCTATTTATCAACAGCAGAATAAATTTGAGACTCGTTTTGTCTTGCAATCGTGACATCTGTGCATAATAGCAAGGTTTTCTGTTCCTGTTTGTGTTGATAGCACCAGTGCAGAACTTGTTGATGTGTGTAAAAGGTCAAACTGCAAGCTTGGGCTTGGATAGGATTGTTAATGTTACTGTTTACTGAACTGTTGACATGGTTTGTGCACTGTTCAGCTATCTGTAGCTGTAGCTTGAATGGAGTTTTGATTTTTAGATCAAAATCTAGCATTTTACATAATTTTCCAGATCTAGATCTATCGATTCCACGTTCGACTGATGTTCCTTTTAACTTTGGCCTTCCTACTTAGACTTAGACTATCACTATGGTATTTTTTTTACTTTCCCTCCCATCTCACACTTAAGCTACCCATTTTTTACTTGATGCGCTGAACATGAATATCAACTTCATTTCTGTCGCAAATTAATAGTTTTTGAAATATCTGATTGAACGTTCGGAGAAATAGTGCCGATCTTTATTTCTCCGAACGGTTTCCGGCTTCCGGTCTCGTGATTTTTTGCCTATTTATTGCGAGAGTTCGACGCCAACTTTCATTCTGCCTCTGGTCTGGGAAGGAACACCGCATGGCAAGCCCGCCGACAGACAACCTTCTGTAACACCCACCACACACCCACCACCATCATGCACATGTACACACACAAACTTATACACACACTAACTAAACATGATCAGTGGGCAACTTTTGAACGTATGACGAGCTGAGCTGTGGATGGAGAGACTGTGTGAGTGACAGAGCAGGTGAAAGGAAGAATGTACGAGTGTATCCACAGGCGACAGCAACTACAACTACAAGGGGACGACACTGACCCCCCTGGCCTGGTCCACAGCTCACGAACGAAAGGAATGCGGCTAAGGCAGTGTTTTGCTAATATTATTGTCCATGGTTCACAGGGTGGCAAGGGAATGAGTGATATTTTCTTTGTGTGTGCTTGGAGGGAGGGGGTGGGGTGTGAAAGTCATACGGACGGAGATGAGCCACACGAGAGAACACGGGAATTGAATGAAAGAGTGAAACTGAAAGAGAGGAATTTAACGACTCATGAGCCCTGGAGTGAATGGATCCTGTGTTTCTATTTTTGTATACTTTGAACTGTTACTGAATAAAGGCTGAAATAAAGCTCGAAAAACAAACACACACACGCTCCTCACTCTCCACTTACACACTTACTACCACACACTCACACATGCATACACACACACACACACACACACAGGAGCAAATGTTTAGGTCTAGATCTATATCTATTTCAATTTTCAAGAGCTAGTCGAGAGATTTTTAGATGAGTGTAAAAACGTGAAAAAGAAAGGTTTCACAACCGAATGAAATCAAAATTAGAACAGCCCATAAACAACCACAAAAATTAACAAATAAGGGCGTGAGTCAACTTGTCCGAAGAAGATTGGCTGTTTTAACTGTTCTCTAAATGTGCGTAATTTTAAAACAAAGTACAGGATATTACATGTAAATTATGGAATCACACACATTAAGGGGCCTGCCAGTGTCAGTACATGTAATCGGTTTTGGTGGAACATACGTTCTAACATAACACATTTAAATCTATATATATATATACATGTATTTAGAGTCTAATAAAGGTCTAGGAACATCAAATTAAATGACGTTACACTATACAACATCCCCCCCACCCCCCCCCTTTTTTTTCCCCCAACAAAAAAAGAATTGATAGAAAAACAACACATCAGAACAATGACAAGAAAGAAAAAAATACACACTAACAAAATAAAACACCACAAAGAGGGAAAAATAAAAGTTAACTGTAACATATTCAACAAATCAACGTGGTGACAGCAAGTGAGAAAGAGACCAAGTGAAGCTAGCTGAACTTTCTTTCAAAAGTAAAGAGGTTCGGTTTCTTTCTTTTTTTTCTTTTCTTTTTTTTCTTTGACCAAAAAATGCCCAAAAAATCGAGCCACGATTGATTGGTCGCGGCCGCGACAAACGCAGGACGCAGATGCTAGTTCTATGTGTCGTTATCAATAACCCTCCGTAGATCTAGATCTAGATCTAGACAGCATACGAGTTTACACCACACATTAAGTTCAAGAGCAGCACCCTTCATAGGCAGTGGCGTTGCGTGAGTTGGAGACATGGTGGTGCATAATTGGAAATTGAGCAAATGGGCAATAGGCTTAGTAGCTAGATCTACTAGTAAGATTTCTAGAGAAAGTCAATTAGAATCTGCAGGATATTCCGTAATCTACATCTATCGATATTTACAACTGTTTCTAGATGAAACCGCATTAAAGCTGCAATAACGTGAAATAATACTACCAACTCACTATGCTCACAATCTGAGAAGATTTAAAGATTTCTAATTACTTCGTGCAGCACCAGGACTTGTTACACAATAGAGGGAGACAACAGTTTCGATACCCATTCTTCATTGAGTAACCGTAGACTCTACTAGCGTTGTAGATAGGCTCGCGGAAACTTGGATCAAATTTTTAGCTTGCACCAAATTGGGGCTGCGAAGAAGAGTTTCAAGCACCTTTCTTCTTGTGCGGGAAGAACGTTGCCTAGATTTCTCTACAGTGACAAAAATAACTTTGGTGCAGAGATTTTGCTTGCTCCTAGTAGACGCTACCGCAAGCGGTGCGACGAGCATAAACCATCCTCGTTGTCTGTCTCTTCACTGGCGCAGCCAGCGGGTGATGGATCGCAAGGATGTGTACATTTTAGTGGGCTAGGCCTAGTGTAGATCTAGAGCACTGACTGGTTTAGAACTATTAGAAAGGGGGGGGGGGGGCAGGGTTAGGTGGAGCGCTTGCACCAATTGCACCAATGGCGCCCCGCCACTGTTCACTGTTCTAGCGAAAAACTGTTTGGAACTGTAGCATTTCTTATATAAATGTTTACTGCGGACATTTTTTGGACCGATTGAACCATATTGTATACGAACAATCTATGGTAGGCCTATACTATAATTATAGATCTATATAATATCCGAAATTTGCGGGAAAGGATGTGATTTCAGAGTGTTCGGAGAAATAATGCCCAGCTTTATTACCCCGAACGTTTGGAGAAATAGTGCCTAGCTATATTTTCCCGAATGTACTGAGAAATAATGCCGGCCTTTTTCTTAATCGAGATTATAGACATGCTTTGGCCCGGGGGGTTACAGGGGGGGTAAAAGAAAATCTGGCGTTACTGGCCCCCTGAAGCCCATAAAATTTGATATTTTACATAGATCTAGATTCTAGATTTGAAATTTTCTTTAAAATAATTGATTTGCTATAGTTAATGGCTTTATGTGTGATCTGCAGCAAACAGTACTGCAGTTTGACCCCTGAAGTTGTGCTTATTCTCTGTATGCGGGAGTTAAAGTAAAAATGTCCAACTTTAGTTTTTGTTTTTATTGAATTGTTTTTTTCTATCAATCATTCAGTGAGCCCATATTAGCAAGCACCACACATCTTTTATCTCTTCTACCTCCCCATTTTTTAAACTGTCTTGTACAGTTTTGTTCTAATCGGCTGTCCTATATATGGGTTTGACTATGGCTCAAATGTTCTGGTTGAATTGGTCTGCAGAAGTGCTGCAGAATTATTATAAATTATAAAGCCCAGGCAGTGCTTTCCTTTTTGAAAACCAGATCTTTATGTTGGTTGTTTTTTAGGTTTTGTTTTAAAACATTTATTCTGGCATTGTCTCTGTAAGCCTTCTTGATTCTTGTGATTTGAAATAAGTTAATACCCTGTGATGTAAGCCTTCTTGATTCTTGTGATTTGAAATAAGTTAATACCCTGTGATGTAAGCCTTCTTGATTCTTGTGATTTGAAATAAGTTAATACCCTGTGATGTAAGCTTTCTTGATTCTTGTGATTTGAAATAAGTTAATACCCTGTGATGTATCTTTCAACTTGGATTAAAAAATTCTCCTTTAAATTTCCAGACAATCCTGTTGTGACGTTCAAGTATCAATTGCTTAGCTCTCTCATCATGGCAGCAGCTAAAGGTCGTGGAAAGAAGGCAGCCGGAGACTCTGGAGCTGCAGCTAAAGCAGGTAGGATGTGAGTGGTGGACAGGTGCAGCTAAAGCAGGTAGGATATGAGTGGTTGACGGGTGCAGCTAAAGCAGGTAGGATGTGAGTGGTTGACGGGTGCAGCTAAAGCAGGTAGGATGTGAGTGGTTGACGGGTGCAGCTAGAGCAGGTAGGATGTGAGTGGTTGACGGGTGCTCTGGTGTGCTTCTTTGTCCCTAGTTGTCCTTCTTTGGTTCTAAATAGAGTCCAGTGGTGCACACCGTTGGGAACCAGAATTATAATTATGTCAGTGTGCCCAGTTTTGGATCATACATCCTTACAAGTCTTTGGGCCTTCCACTTCCACACCATCTTGCTGAGCTGGCAGGGTAAAGCTGATACAACTACTAACTACTCTAAGACAATTGAAAGTATTCAAGACCAGTAGTGGTCTGTGGGTGATTGGCGGGTGCTCTGGTGGGGTTTGCTCCTTCTTTCCTAGTAAATATCCTTTCTCTCCTCCTTCTTTTTTGTGTATGTAACTTTCTTGTAACACCTCTATTCCTCGGCACTTGTATAACCTTTAAATTATGTTGCAAGAGCAAGTGGCGTAAAACTGTTACTAAAACTAGAACCAGTTGTGGTCTAGTCTATGTCGTGTAGTTAAGTGGCAGACCCCTGACACACACGCAGAAACTCCGTCACCTGGACACAATGCAAATTGTGGGTATGTCATTAACAAAATATTATTAGCCTTTCTCATTTGTGTATAGCGTTTAGCTTGGCATATCCACCTGTGTTGATGCCTTTGCTTAAGATGCCTATTACAATTTTCTGTTTTATTGTTATTATATGTTCATGGCAAAATGTGGTCAGTATTGAGCTTATCTGGCAACTCACCTCTAATAACTTTCCTTCACTTCTGTATGATAAAATTAGCTTTGAAAAGAAATTTATTAATGCAGTTTGATTGAATTATATGATTATGTGGACTTCCAATGCATTTATCATAATTTTGTTGTGAGGTGTCGTTCGAATTTATAATATTTTTTTTATAATACCAGGAAATGTGTTTTCTATTCTTTTGTGAAACACTCACTTCTGGTTGGAGTTATACAGTAACCATGGCTTCTTTTTTGTTCCCAGCGAAAAAGCCAGCAAAGAAGGCAACAGCAAAGAAAGGAAAGAAAACAGGTAAGCATCTTTTTATCATAATTTTTGTCTAACTACATGATGTAAAAATAAGGAAATATGGCTTTGAAATGGTGGTGTCAAGGGCAATGGATAAGTTTAGTGACAGCAAAATTGAAGAGCATACGTATTGTATTGTTCTAGGTATGCCTTTTTGAGAGAAAGGCGAACAAATTGATTTTTAGAGAAGTACAATTGTAGTGGAGAGATCAGTTTGAAGAGGTATGACTTTTAGTTTGGTTGACACATGTCTTTCTCTTAAATTTATTTTGGGCTTAGTACTAACTCCAAGGTCAAGTCTGAGCTCTTCTACGGCTGTGTAACTTGAAAGACAGACAACAAAGACAGTACTGAATAAATTCCAGACTTTCATCAACAGATGTATTAGGAGTATCCTAAGAATTAAGTGGCAGAATAAAATAAGAAATGGTGAGCTGTGGGAAAGGACAGGACAAAAGGATATATAGAATTAGAAATAGGAGTAAGAAAGTGGCGATGGATGTGACACACATTCAGAAAACCCAGCGGAAACATCACAAGACAATCGCTGCAGTGGAACCCACAGGGAGCACGAGGCAGGGTAAGCCACGAGAAACATGGAGGAGATGTGTGGAAAGGGACATGAGAAAGATGAAGCTCACTTGGAAGGATGGCCCAGGACAGAGATACAGTGGAAACCTGATATAACAGGGATTTTGGGAACAGAGAAAAAGTCCTGTTGTGTCAGATCTCTGTTAAATCAGAAATGCGAGGGAAGGAATCATTTGTGGACTAATCCAGCTGTATTATTCATGGATAGTTTCCCATGGTCTCCGCCTGATACATTACGTGTGCGTATAGCTAGGCTTAGTGCTAGATTGAAGTCTGCAGCTCACCGCAGCCCTCTCTCGCTTCACCTGCTGCGTGTGCTTGCAGTGGCGTGGCTTGCATGGGCTTGCTCCATCACTGCATTACTCTCTCTCTCTCTCTCTCTCTCTCTCTCTCTCTTACTTTATACACATTGTTAACAAGCCTTTGTCCCTGCTATAACCGATTGGGCTCCAATGAGGCCCTTTTCTTGGCGATAACTTTTAATAGGAAGAAAGAGTAGGAAAAAACTAGGATTTTAAAACATCAGTTATTACCGGATCCCTGTTATATATATGGTTTCCACTGTAAATGGAAGGAGCCTGTATGTGGCCTATACCCTGCCAGGGGTGAAAGGCATTGATGATGATGATGATTATCTGTATGTCATTTTAAATATCATTTTAAATATTTAGTATGGCTTGAGGATGTGAGTTGTAAGTTCCATGTCATGATGTTCTTGCTTTCTTTCTATCTGTTAACTTACTCCTTCTTATCCTTACTGTGAACTTTCTTTGATCTATGTGGGGATTGTTTAAGGATGTCACTGGAGGCTGTGGTCCCGTCACAGTTTGGTCACATCTGATCAAGTCTGATTTTTTAAAGACACACTGGAAAATATCTGGTCGCTTTTAAAAGGACAAGCGGGCTAACCCAGATTCCGGGGATTCCCAAAAATCTTGACCTACACCAAAAGTGGGCATTGCCCTACTTGAGAAGTTTGGTTTCATTGGTGTGAATATTTGTTTATAGAGAGAAAATTCTCCTTGTTTTTTAATGAAACTGAACAAGGGGCAAAAACTTTACCTTCGATTTTCTCAAAATAGCATTTTTCGGGATAGCCCACTTGTCCTTAAAAGCGACCATCTGTGAAGGACTTTTTAACATGAATTCCTTAACACGGGAGAGCAAAGCTTCCAACAGACAGTTGGATAGCAGCCTGAATTAGAATTGAAGCCAAGAGAGAGGCCACCTGTCCAAATGACCACTTCCCACTTCCCCATTTTCGTTTGAAGAAATATTTTGTTGGCACTTTCCATGATATGTTGAAGAAAAAGCACTTTCTTCTCGACAATGGGTGGTCGTCTTGGATAATTTCGATGGTAGCTATTTTTTATATTTTTTTTGGCTTCCTTGAGTAGTAAAACACTTTTCCAGAGTTTGATACTGCAAATGACACAATACAGGTGCTTTGCAAATGTGTCTTTTAGATAGTTTTACAGTGGAATCTACTTAAACCGAAATCTGGGCGACAGCCAGGTTTTCTTCGGTCTAGCTGGATTTTCAGTTAAGATAGGTTGCTCAAATAGAAGAAAAAATATGGGAGGTTTTTTTATTTTCTTTTGGATTATCGCTGTTTTCGGAATACCGTGTTTGGTTTAAGCTGACTCCACTGCATATCTTACAGATGATAATTTGTAAAAGCTTGTGTGTTAAATAAAAATGGTGTGATGTTCATTTCAGGAGGAGTAAAGAAAGCCAAGGCAAAGGCAGCGGCCAAAGGGAAAGGGAAGAAGGCCGCAGCAAAGAAATGAGCCACTACCTTTAGCCTCTTTTTTTTATTTTTTGCACTCAACCTTGTTTTCTTTTATTCTGTACCATTATTGTTAGTTTGATATTATGATTATACATTGTATTATATTATATTGCACCAATGATGGGCCTGTGTAAAATATCTCAAAATCGGAAAAAAAAACAGTTTTGAACGATGCTGAAGGGAGCATCAGGTATGATTGATCTCATATATGAATTTCCAATTTTTGCATTGTTTTTTTTTTTTTTTAAATGTTGCTTTTGAACAGAAAAGTTATTGAGAAAATCTTTTTAATGAAGAAATGGGAAATTACATTGGTCACATTGTTGAAGTGCTTGTGATTGATATTTAACAGGTCAATGTCTTCATGTATTCATGGACTGTACTTTTTCACTTTGTCTAGACTAGCTCAATTGTGTCTTTGTTCTTTCTCTTTCTCTCTCCCCCTCCCTCCCTCTATGTCCCTCTATTCTTGGTCTCTTTTCCATACTCACACTCTCTTGCCTTCGTCCAGCTAAATCCTACACATTGTATTTATCATTGCGTTGAGATATATATTATATATATACCAGTGGCCATATAGTGCCCAGTATCATGGATTTTTACACGTTTTATTCACCGTACACGTCTGGTCTACAGTTTATGCTGACTAAGTCAACATTCAGCTTAATTATTGAATACTAAATACCCATTTTGGATACGGTAACCCCCTCCCCAGTATTTTTTAAGTTATCAAAATTTTATTATCCTGAGGAAAGTTGCACATCTTCATATATTATATATATATATCCATCCATCTATCTATCATATATTTGATCTTCATCTCATTTTATTTTTGCTTCTTGTAAGCATTCGTGTAATTAACCATTTTTTGGTTATAGTCATTTTGTCCTCATTTGTTTTAACCTGCCAATCACTTCAAGGAAACGTGCTTGTTTAGATGATGTCAGCCCTCAGATGCAATAGTGACATTCATTCTTTGGGAAAATTACCACACTCGAGCATCGGAGGGTTGATGTGTCTGCGTGTCTGAAGTTATGTGTTTATTTTTTAAAAAAGTATTTTTCTTGTTGAAAGTTCGTTTTGGAAGGAAAAAAAAAGAGCTAAGTTTCAATCATCCTGAGTTTTGTCAGTGGCAATTGATAAAATTTTTAATGAAGTTTTACAATTTAAAGCATGGGAAAATATTGTTTTGAAGGTTTATCTTTTAATCTTTTAAAAGAGGAGTCGTTGACGAGCGTTAGTAGGTCAGAATCTTTAGAATATAGGCCTTCATTTTGTTCTAGATGATTGTGTTTACCTTTAGAAAGTAGTTTTCAAGATGTCAGATGCACTGATTGAATCTCAAAGCACGTTTGGATGGACATACTTGGTTAAGTGTATGTATGTGTGGTGATCATGATCAGTTACTTTTACACAAGGCAATATATTAATAAAATAATTGTCGTTAGTTGAACATTTTTGTTTGTTTTTCTTTTTTTTAGATTAATTCAGATATATTTTACCGTGACCAAATACAGAAGATATATAATATAGTTGTTGTTACTGTATTAAGGTAGAAAAATGTTGATCTGTATTTGATCTGCGTGTCACCTAGCTCTTCGGTTTTGAAGTATTTGAAGTCACATATATACATGTATATATATTCGAATACAATATTTTAGGTCCCTAGCAACGCAATTTAAATTTAGCATGTGGACTGCTTTGACCCTGTCTGTCAGAGGCAGCCTGGGCTAGTGTGTTGTTGGTAATACAGCTTTCCTGCAAAAGATTGAAAGACTCGATAAATTCCCTTCCTAGGAATGGAACCCACGTCCTTAAAATTTTTCACTTCAACACAAAGAGCCTACTAAACATTAGACCACAGGCACAGACACTGGTTGGAACCTCCTCCTCTGTCAAAGTAAGCATGATGTCTTTTGGGCCTTTCATGACTTTCAGGCTGAGGAGAGTGCTACAAAAATTTTATTTTGTAAAAATCCCCTTGTATTTTTGAGTCATAGATTAGATTTCTCAGAGTTTTCTAGCAACTCAACACCCTTTTCCAAGACAACAGGTTACTGAAGAGATTTAAACTTGAGTCGAACTTCAGATGGGAAATCTATTTCCTTTAAATTTAAACTGGGCTGTCCTTACACAAACAGGTCTGTTTAGAAACTTACTCTCAACTGTACTGTAAGGTCATACCCATAGGTTCGAATTCCATCAGGGGCCTGAGGTTGTGTCCAAGGGAAAGGCACTTAACACAAATTTTCCTCTTTGTTGACCCAGGTGGGAATGGGTAGGCCTGCCTGCCTAAAGACAGACAGCGAATGAAAGATCTTGCCAGTTTTACTTTTACCTGTATTAACGCATCTTGCACTGTAGGCTACTGTATGCTTCCTGGGAAGCCAAGAATGTTAAAGTATTCTACGGTCTGCTGGGGTAATTTATGTTGTAAAGCACGTAGAGCATGGTTATACGCTATATATAATATGTAAAAATTAATGCAATTTTATTATTTTTATTTTATAGAATAGAAATGTCTTGACGACAGAGATGATCACTAGTCACCTCCACTGTAGTCAAGTAAGAGACTGGTGCTGAAGCTGACTGCTATTGTCAGGCCAGTGTGCAAGTGTAAACGGTCTATTTATTACATGTACAGGCCGACCGGACAGGTTTTAGACAGTAGGCAAGCCGTACGGCTGGACAAAATCGAGGAAACTTGGTTTATTAATAATATTACACGCCACAATCGACCTGAAGGCGGCTGCACCTCGCGAGCAAAATATGTTTGACACACTAGGCCTAGTCTGGGTGAAACTTCACACACATGTGTGCACCATGGCACGCAAAACATAAAAATGTGCTGGAATGGAAAATCTTTTAAAAATTTTAAAAACAAAATAAAACAACTCACTCGAGAGTGAGAGCCATTGCCGTAATTTTGATACGCTGATTCTGAATCTGGTATTAATTTTTATCTACGACGTGATTTTCCATAATTTTGAAATTAGTTCAATTGTCTCCAGTGCAGCAAACTTCAAAGGCCGGATGTCAAATTCACAGGCAGCGGCTATGGGTTCTCTTACATCCAGCCGGCCATTCGCCGGAATGTTCGCCTACGGTTTGAGCCACATTTCTTTTTACATGTTACGATTGGCCGTACGGCCCCGAAACCTGTCTGGTCTGCCTGTACGTGTAATAGGCCCTTTAGCGCCAGAAACCTTGACTTTGCTTACAGGAACTTACAGTACACTTTTTCACACATACACAACTTCCAATCTATGTCGACAAAGGCCCCTTTTTGGTTCAAAATCAGCAACCAATCATGTTTTAAGTTTTAGAAGAACATTTAAAATTTGGGTGACCTTATTTAGGCCACATATGGCCTAAATAAGCTAAACCCCCCTCCCTTACCTTATTTGGGCCACAGGTGGCCTAAATAAGCTAAACCCCCCTCCTTTACCTTATTTAGGCCACAGGTGTGGCCTGAATAAGCTAAACCCCCCTCCCTTACCTTATTTAGGCCACATCTGTGGTCAAAATAGCCAAACCAACGTAAAGCATTGTTTTCTTTACAAGTTACGTTATTATCTCTTTAAAAACTCTTCACATTCATTTTCCTTCACAGCCGTATCGTACATGACATGTGATGTAGAATCAATTTAAGGTCCTTGGAAAGGTGACCAGAAAATAACAAAATTATTTTATGATCTTCACTTGCACTTGCAATTTTTTGGACAAATTAAAGTCTACCTAATTATATTTTCCCCCCTCATTTTTCTTCACTATAAATGACAACTGGCATGTATTGTTTTCAGTTATTATCAAGAAAGTGGATAGGCGGACTACGGGGTCTATCTAGCCAAAAGGATAGGTGGTCCCCAGGGTCTACCTAACAAAATGTCAGGTTTTAAGATGTGAACCCCGGAGTCAGCGTAGTGAAATAAGTAGATTTAGGTTTACCTAAGGATCGGTGGACCCCGGGGTCAACATAATGAAATAAGTAGATCTAAGTTTATTTTATAATAGGACTGGCGGAGCCCGTGGTCAAAGTAGTGAAATTATAAGTAGATATAGGTTTAATTAAGGATTGAAGAACCACGGGGTCAATGTAGTGAAATCAGTAGATCTAGGTTTAATTAAGGATTGGTGGACCCTGGGGTCAATGTAGTGAAATAAGTACATGTAGATCTAGGTTTAATTTTAAGGATTGGTGGAACCTGGAGTCAACGTAGTGAAATAGGTAGGTTTAAGGTGAACCCCAGGGTCTACCTAACGAAACACTAGTTAGGTTTTAGAATAGGTGGATCCTGCGGTCACCGTAGTAAAACAAGTAGGTTTAATCAAGGTGTCCCGGGGGTCCACCAATCCTTAATTAAACCTTCTTAATCCTCTATGGCCTTGGTGACTCCGGGTTCCACCAATCTTTAAAGAAACCTACTTATTTCACTGCGGTGACCCCAGGGTCCACCTGTCCTAAAACCTAGTACCAATCCTTACTTAAACCAAACCTTATTTCACTACGGTGACTCCGGGGTCCACATCCTAAAACCTAGTATTTCGCTATGCAGACCCCGGAGTCCACCTATCCTCTACAGGACTATACTATTATTATCAATTTGCAATTTTCATTGATTAGCATTTTTGTTTAAATATAATATTGAATCAGAGTGCAGGGGAGACCGAGGCGCCCGGTCGATTCGGTGGTCGGCTTTTGTAGATCTATGCATTTTTTACGGAAAGCCGTATTACCTAACCCTATTACTAGATCTATTAGTGTTGTGAAAACTTCAACCTCTACAGCTCAGGCGTCAAAAGATGCAGGTAAATAATAATAGATCTACGTCCTGAAGTTTCATAATTTATTTTTATACAGAATAACACAGTACACAGTCAGTAGTTTTTATTTCATCGAGTTATAAAAATGGCCTTCGTTTAAAAATTGCCTTGTTTTCAGAAACAAGTTTTAATAGTTCTAGTTCTACCTAATCGATTTTCATGCGAATTCAACCATTTTGATGATCTTTCTTTTCCTTTTAAAAAGATGTAGATCTAGGCCTGTCGGATGTGGCAGTGCGAATAGCACTGAGTTGTTTAGATCTAGATCTAGACCCATCAAAACACGAGGCTTCGTGGCCGATCACAAAAGTCTACAGGGCTTATCGAGGCCGATTCGCCCTGCCGCGAGCACGTTCACTAAACTGCCTACTAGATAGAATCTACTACCAAATATTCTCCACACGATCTTTGCTACTACTACTACTAGGCCTACTAGCCTACATGTACTACTACGAGACAGTACGAGAGAGTGTCACTCAGGCAAAGATAGTGTAACTTTGACTCAGCCACGTAGTATACACACTTTTTATACCCCAAATTTAACCCGAAAGTCCATTCGGAGGATTTGACCTTTTCACTTGACCAAAGTGTGCCAAAATGGTAGCCTAGCTTTTGCCCCTCCATGAAGGAAAAATCCGGCCCTCATTCAAACCATTGGAATTGAGCAAAATTTTGCGTTTTGTGCTTTGTTCTTTACAATATTCATTATGGTTATGATTTATAAGTTGTACACTGAGGCAAAACCATACTAAATGAGAAAGGGGCACCATTATGAAAGTGGAATGAACTCAGTTGCCTGAAAAGGGTAGTTTGAACATGTGTGGCCTAAATAAGCTAAACCCCCCTCCCTTACCTTATTTAGGCCACAGTCCACTGTGGCCTAAATAAGCTAAACCCCCCTCCCTTACCTTATTTAGGCCATATGTGGCCTAAATAAGCACTCCCTTAAAATTTATGCATTCCCCCATGGTTGAAAATGGTGAAATGGTATGGGATTAACACCTCTATCAACAGTATTAGGTTATTTATGAGGCGGGACTTCCGAGTTTAACGTCCATTTCTGAAAGGACCGAGCCAAAAGGGAATACTGTGTAAAAGTAAAATACCTTTCCCAAAGACACAATGTAGGACCGAGCTGAGGTTTGAACCCGCAACCTCATGATTACGAGTCCGGTAGCCTTACCACTAGGCCACCGACGCCACCCACTATGGTTGTTATTCTTCATCTAATTGAAAATACACAAAGTAGTCTATGATGAAACAGAGGTGTTGTGTCACTTGATGCATATAAAATTGAGAGCACTACAAACTAGTTATTTTTGCATTGTTGTACTGGTATTGAAATAATAATAATACCAGAAGGGTCAACACTCCGCTCGAATGCCATTTTTGGAATGTACCGGGTAGTGTGTTTGTGTGGGGGTGGCGGAGAAGAATTTAGCACACATACTTCATCTTAAGATAATCTAAATTAACCGAACAACCGAACACTTCACAGTAGGGATGAAACCCTCAAAATGAGTAGGCCCACATTGCTGAATGGACTCCTAAGTTAAATTATAAATTAGATCTAGATATATTATCATATCTGCCCCTAATTCTATGCACAGCAGTCTTTAAATTAAAAAA